AGAAGCGACAGTATAGATTTTTCTTAAATATATGAAGCTGAAGAACTTTTGTCAAGACATGCAATTTCTTTGAATTTCTATTTCCTGTGTTGTATAAACAGGAGTAACAATAGAACCAACATCTGTACATTGTTTTTTAGGAGTAAATGAAATAGTATACCAGTACTGTGATGGCATTCACCTCAGTGTTTTGTGTTCAAATAAATACTTGTTGAATCAGACCATATACATTATTTATCCAAAGGCAAAATAGTCTGTACATAAATTAATATACTGGTAATAACAAAAACTGCCTATACAAACTTCCAGCAGCCCTTCAAAATATCTTTTTATAATTGGCACTCCAGTGCCATCTATAAATTATAAATTGAGCAAATATAAAAGACTTGATGACTGTTTTTCAGGATAGTGGAATTTAATACAACATATCACAAAGTTTTCCCCTTTTTACTCTTTGAATATGTGCTGATTCAAAATTTCCGTTTCCTGAAATATTTTCCTCTGGACACTTTTTAAAATAAATATTTTAGTTAATCACTTAACATTTATTTCATTAATGTGATGAACGAATATAAATCACTAAAACATGTTTGAGGAAAGACTGAAAATCTATTCAAATAAAAAATGTGAATGTTTGCTAAAGAATTTAATAGGAAGCCAAAGCAAACACTGTCAATATGCTGTATTAAACAAATGAAGTAGTACTTTAAGTCATTCTATGTTTAAATAATGAAGCTATAAGACTAAGTAAACAAACCAGGACTTTGAGAAATAAAATTTAAATATATCTTACAAATACTATAATCCAATAATTATATTTAGGTAGGCCATAGTTATTGAATGATTTTTTAATGGTTATATAACAATAATATTTAAAAGATTGTCTGCATATTAAGAGAAGGAAAATATTATCTGTGATAATATCGACTTTATATAATTATTCTGAAGATTAAACTAAATAATATAAATAAAATTTTTAGATTACTTGGAACAGAGTAAACATGATAACAACAATAAACATAGTACCTATTACTATTTTTGTCTAAAATTATGACCAAGTCACTACTATACTAGGCTAGTTTAATCACTGTTTCATCACCATGTATTGTAGTAGATATTACCATTAGCCTCATTTTACAGATGAGGGAAATTAGGCCCTAGTGAGGTAAAGTAAGATCTTAAGTAACCCAACTGGTAAGCAGTGGAGTCAGTGCTAGAAACCAGATTCTCTAGTGCCAGAGTATCCCCTGCCCACCTCACGTAACCACTACCATATGACACCTCCATGTATTGGTGTGTAC